ACTTAGAACGATTTGGAAGAACTAAAAGTGCTAAGCAAAACTACTTTAAAAAATTAGTATTATTAAATTACAAATAAACGGGAATTTTCGTATGAAAAAAATAAGAAAAATGCAAAAAATAAAAGAGAACAAAAAATGTAACTTTTAAAAACATTTTAACCTTTTGTACAAATTTTGTTATTTGTTAACTAGAATTTATAGTAAAATATTTATTTTTTAATAACAAGACACAACACATTTCATTATTATTGAAATATTGAAGAACTGCCAAAACGACCGTTTTGTCATCTTTCGCATTCACAAAAAAAAAAAATAAAAAAAAAGTAAACTTTTTTAACAAAAAATTGCGAAGAAAAAAAAAAGTTGGCTCTACACCAAAATAGTAAATTAAAAAAGAACTATATTAATAATAAAATTCCGAGAATATCATACCACGTCATTCCTTAAAACTTTCAAAATTGGCATCAAGAATTTGTTTGAAAATGTGCGGTTCTTTCGGTATTTACGAGTTGTCTCTTTTCTTGTCACTTTTTGGCGGAACGGAACTGAGTTAACAGAAACAGGCCAATGAGTTATCGCACTGCTCCAACTTATACGGACCACATATCTTCATTCCGTGCGCCTATCGCGAGACTTCGCACTGCCAATAGAGAGAGGTTGGTCAATCAAAAACGCATTTTAACAACACCGCGGATGTCTTCCCACTATCTTGATGTACTTGAACACCTCTCTCAGTGTTGTTCTGTCGAGCAAAACATAGCGAGTCTTCATCAATACTTCATACAGAATTCATGTGGGGTATCCGATGAGGACAACTCCACAGTGTGTCAAGTATTATTAACATTACTTTGCAGTGGTAATCAGTCGCAATACACGTTATCGAAGTGTATGGATATCCTCACACACTTCGCTAATTTGGCGAGTTTTGTGATTGACGCGAACACCATTCCAACGGATTGCACGATCATCACTGGAGTTGTTCGTTGCTCATTTGCACAAAACGCGGAGTTGCGGAAGGCTGCGCTGAAATTAGTGAAGAGGGCAATCACCACGTTTCTCTCGCCGTGTTTGCTCACCAAATTTGTGTTGCCGAATTTGGTGAATGTTGCGGAGGTATACGCAAACGACAAAAGTACTGTCAGTCTTGTTGCTGAGAACTTTGTGTCTGCCGTCTCGTCTTATGAATTTTCATTTGACAATTATTCGAACTTTGTCGAAACGTTCATCACGAAGGATTTGGTCAATAAGGAGTTTGTGAGGTGTTTGTCTGTGTTGGTGAAACAGCACAACTCACAGAAGTACTTGTTGACCAACGATATCTTCATGAAAAGTGTTATTTGTATATTAAAAACTCGTGAAGATGTGTTTTTGGATGTGATTGACCTCTTAATAGAGATCAGTTTAACGCAGAAGTTCTCAAGTAAATTACTTGATGAAAAGTACATTGGCGAGATCGTCAAGAACTTCCAAAGTCGTGTGGTGGGGGGATACAATATAATCGGCTTTTTCGAGTTGTTTGTGAATTTGTTAAACAACGGGAATTACGTAGTCGAACGACTTGAGAAGTTTGGGTTGTACACGTTTGTGTTCAACGCACTTGACATGATCTATGCGAAGGACTTGGATGGACTTGTCAATTTTGTGAATTCGACATTATTATGGGCGACCGATAAACAGAAGATTGTCTTGTGTTGCGAGCCAATCTTCTGGATGTACGCAAATTACTTGAAGGAGTCGTTTATCAGAGAGAACCCGACCGTTCAAACCTTGAATCGGCTGAAAACACTATTCTCGATGAGTGAAAGGAAAAGAAACATATTGGACTTTTATTACTTGACGGGGCTCGAACAAGTAGTGACGACGTTAATGTTGAATTCATGTCGACAGATTGCGTGTTCAGCAGAGGATATCGATGAGATGATCCGGAAGACAATGTGTTTTGATCTTGTCGACTTGTAGAAGTGATTTTATAATTTATTGTTTGTTATGACGGTTCTAATAAAAAGTGACTTAGAGTGCGGCAGTGCATTCAACTTCAACTAAAGCACCCTTTGGAAGAGCAGCTGCAGCGTAACAGGCACGTGCGGGTTTGTGTTCTCCAAACGCTTTTGCATAAATTCCATTGAACACTCCAAAGTCTTTGATGTCGGCTAAAAGGCAGGTTGTCTTCACGACTTTCCCCATCGAGCTCCCGGCTTCTTCTAAGACATACTTCATGTTTTTCATCACTTGTTCGCTCTGTTCTTCAATTGTTTTTCCAGCAAAATCCCCAGTCTTTCTGTCTAATCCAATTTGTCCAGAACAGTAAACCATGCCGTTGCAAATGATGGCTTGGGAATAAGCGCCAACGGCTTCTGGAGCTAATGGTGATGATACGACCTTAAGAGCAGACATTTGCCTTCTTAGTCTCTTTCTTCTCTTTTATGAGAAAATTAACTTCTCTTGGTTTCTACTCTTTTCTTTCTTTTTCTTTTTCTTCGTCTTCTTTAAACACTTTTGGGTTGTTTGTGTGAAAAAATTATGATAATTCCAACTTTTATTAATTCAGTACTATTAACGTTGTTTCCTCGATAAATACCCAAAAAAATACTAAAGTGGTGTTGAGTACAAACAGATTTGATTATCCCAAATTTGTTTCTTAATTTATACTATTGTTTAATAGTTCTTAATACCATTTTTATTGACATTTTGTTTCTCTCATTTGTATCGATTGAGGTCATCTTAATATTTGTTTTGTTAATGCAACGTGTTAGCCAGTCATTTCTTGTTGGATTACTATTTTAAAAATAAGTACCATTTATATAGTTAATTTTATTAGAATGTGTACAAATCAGCAGAAACTATAATAATAATATATTTAATTATATAAATGAGAAAGTATCCAAATAGTAATAAAATATACTAATTAAACTATAAATTGACACACCTGAAGAACTGGTGCTTGTTGTTCTATAACATGAACCTTTTCCGAACTATATCAGTCACTACGAAGTGACTCACTGTATGACTATCACCACTTTTTGGTGGTTCACCGACAGTTTTAGACTTTTCCTGTTTCTCTATGAACTTATCAAGCCATGAAGTACTCTTCTCATTCTTCGAAGACAGAATTGAACCAATAGCAACTCCACTGAACTCGTGACGGTTTTTGAGAGTGTATTTGGTTGGATTCTTGTTGGCAGCAAGTAGCGTTAAATAGTCTTCGTACCTTTTTTGCACTTTCGTATCTTCAAATTCGTGTTTAATTTTAAGTTCAGAAAATCTGGTTTTAATTTCCTTTTCGTTTTTGGCAACAATCTGTTCAATAGTCTCTTTTCCACTCGCAAAATCGATTTTAATCGTTTCTTCGCTCTGGGAAAGAGGCGCTTGATTCTGGGATTGTCTGCCGAAAGTCACTTCATAATCACTACTGGTTCCTTTTCTTCTTTTCACAAATATCTCCTCCGTTCCATCCCATCCAATTTCCTCAATAAATCGTTCCGCCTCGGTATAACTCATTCTCTCGTTTTTCATCAACTTCTCAATCTCCAGCTCTTTTTTCAAAAAATCTGTTCCATCATTTTGGTCTATTATATCATTGATTCCAAGAAATTTCACATCTTGTTTTTTGTCGTTCCGCATTTTTGATATGGCGGAACTCCCCTCATACGTGTCCTCCTGATAGTCGTTTGCTTCCTTCACGTTTCCTCCCTCAAATGCTCCGTGGAACAATCTTTTTCCTTCTCTATCCAACGCAAATTGTTCTCTTGGATAAGCCTTCTTCGCGTTATCGTCACGGTGTTTATCCCGTCGTGCTCGCTTCATTTTTGAGTTTTGTGTTTCCATTGTGCAAATGGTTTTATTTTTATAACATTTTTATAATACTTTAATCAATACTTTCTTTAGTAATAATTATAATAAAATGTTATATTATATAGTACAACAATTAGAATATACAATTTATAGTAACATATTATAAGTTATAGTACAATTTAACACCAAGAATTACAATTCATCTTTGTTGTGTTGGTTGATTCTGTAAGCCTCGAGTTTAGTTTTGCAGTCCTTAACTAAACTCTCCACCTCTTCTGTACTCAACAAAATTTTTGTGGTTGAGTGTTTATTAATAAAGTTAATGACTTCGACTGGTCCTGTAGTTTCAATAGATAAAAAGTGTGGCTTTTTAGAGTCTGATTTAAAAAAGACTATAAGAGGGTACTGCCACTTCTTATCGATATCTATCACATCGTCTTGATCGATATCAACAAACCCAAATTTCAATCCCTCCGGAAGTGTTTTGAGTTCAACGATGGGCGCAAAGGTTGTTTCGATATACTCAACACAACTCGGGGTCGACGACCCACAAAAGAGAAAAGCAGAGTCCACCCCTTTCTTGTAACTTTCGAAGATGTCGGCGGTGATGATGGGGGGATTCTTCTCGAGATACCAATCCTGTGATTTTCTAGCTAACTTGACTGGAGTCAACTCGTCAGCCAAAAATGATTCAACGAACTCGATGATGTTCTCCTCAGTGATTGGCATTGTTTCATCGAATGGAAATATGTCTCTTTTATAAGTAATAGAAATTAGTGGGTATTTCCCGTCACCATGACCCGGGAGGGAAGAATCCTTTTGGGCTTGACTAGTCAAGAATGGCAATTTGAGTCGATACTTCTGAGCAACTTTCTTTAAAATCGTAGCCTTAGTCATTCTAGTAGTATAATAATACATTAAAACCGGAGTATCTAATTGTTCCAATATAGGCTCTGCTATATTCTTGTTGACCATAACAGGAATGAAAGCCATTAAGACTAAGTTGAGTAAGTCTTGTTTCTTCTCTTTGTTATAAATTAAAGGGAAAGTGACTGTATGGACTTCCTTTTCATTGTCTAAAGTACGAACTGTTAACGTTGGAGTTTGAATTGTAGCATTGACGATCCAAAGAAATTGTTGTTTAAACCGTTTAATATCTTCAGCGATGAAATTCATGATATCATCATGAGATAAAGCAACTTCTCGACTGGGGAAAGTGGCGAGAACAGTACCATAATTTAATGTCTCATACGTTTCTAAGTCTTTTTGTGTTTTGATCTCAACATAAGTGGGAAGGTACATGTCGTTCAACCAATTCTTGATATCACCATAGTCGTGCATCCCAAATAAAACGCGATATTGTTCCCCTTTCTTAAATAAGATAGTTGTAGGCATGACTTGGATGTGTTGTTTCTCACAAGTCTCGACGTTGTCCTCTTCACAAAAGATGATCGCAAAAGGAGTGTCAACAAATGATGAAAGCTGTGTAAATTCACGCTCATGATCTTTGCAATACGGACAATTCGTCTTGACAGAAAACATCACTAAACATGTTTCTTTCGATTGAATGTAATTCTCAAAATTCCGTTTGCTTAGTTCAAAGGGAATGCCTTGAACAGTAGATGCAAGAAAAATGAAGAGAAACATTGATCTAATTATTGATATTTGGTAGTTCTTTGTTTGTGTTTCAAATTTTCAATGTATCTGAATTGTACTGTTTGTAATAGTTTTTTTATTATTACTATATTATTTGTTTGTATTATTCATATTAGTTTTGTTTTACTAAATAAGATATGTTCTTTCTGATTGGAATTGTTTTATTATATTGTAACAGTTATATAGTTAAAATTATTATTATTTTATAATACATTAAATGAAAGTATAAGATAATAGCAAATCTTTTTTAAAAATTCAATAAGATTTTTAATTAAAAATTGAAATTTAAACTATTAATTTTTAACTAAAATATAATAATTTAACTAATTTATAATAATTAAAATTTAATAAAATTATAATTCTTTATTTATAATTAACTAACAAGTGAACTTTTTATTATTTTTAATGAATTTTTTTTTGTAAAAGATTGTTGTAAAAAAATAGTTAAAAATGATATATTTAATATAGATTCTTATTAAAATAATATAGTTATAATATAGTTATAATATATATTTGTTTTGTTTCAAGCAAAAATACAAATCATTTTCTGTTTATCTAGAAAAAAAAACGACAGAATTGAAAAAAGTTTTTAGTTATTAAAAATAGAAAATTGTTTATTAAAACCGACAAATAATTAATAAATATATAAATTCATAGTTAAAAATCTGGTAAATTATAATAAACAATTAAGTAACGTTTTTATATATATATATATTTATTATTGGTTAACAAAAAAAAAGCGATGTTCAACAAATACATTTTTGGATGTAATTCGAACAAAAATAGACCACACAATTTTAAAACTTATTAAAAAAAAGAAGTTGACATTAAAAGTCAACAATGCCATCGAAACATTCAATGTTTATATAATCAAAACAAACTTGAAAAGGCTTTCTTTTTTTTGTTTGAATTATTCCATACTTAATAGTATTTTAAACTACACATAAACTAGATACATCAACAAGAGTCGAACTAAAGAACCAGACGATGTCCACGGAGAGAATCATTTCAAATCAACTTATTGCGATTGGGGAGTCGAAGTACAAGGAGTTTACTGTATTAAACAACTTCTGGACTAAGCAACATGTTTTTATTAAGGAATGGAGCAGTACACTTGAGCGGATGAATTCATTACTTCAAAATGAAATTCAACTGATAGAGTCGACGTTTTATAATAACACCATTGGGTTTTGCCCCGATGATGGTGAAGTCATAATCAGTGCATTGAGTTATATCAACAACACAATTTCTATATTTGCCAACGAGTCGAAAGAAAATTTCACTAAAGTACTAGACTCGTTGGATGTCAAATTCAATGAAATAGAAAGCGAATTTAAATCAGCAGGGTACTCTGAAAAGTGTTTGTATCTTCATAAGAAATAGAATTGTTTTTAATAATTCAATATTAAATAATAGCAAAAGGAGAAGAAGCTAATGAAAAAATCGTGACTCTATGGCATAGCCTAGAGAGTATGGCGACTGTCAATATCACAAAAATGTTTTCTGATTTTCTGGACGAGTTTGACAATTACTTTAAAATGGGGATCACGTTTATTGAAGAAAGTGACCGTTTTAAAGTAATGAAAGAGAGCTTCAAGAAACGGCTGAAAGATGAAGAATTTAAACAACACACGTTAGTCAATTATGCACAAGTCCCAATTCATGTTATTCTCGAACACGAACAACGGACTAAAAGAGATTTACCAAAGGCAGTTGAACAGATCCATTTACATCTTACTAAAAATGGCTTAAACGTGAAAGGAATATTCAGAGAGAGTGGAGCTACTGCACATTATTTACAAGAATTATATATGCGGATGTCAGTCACCAACTTTTTAGAGATCCCTCCCGACATCACTGCAGCCGTTTATAAAAAGTTCTTAAGAGAGATTCCCGGGCATATCTTCAATACAAGTCAAACAACAAATTTAGTTGAGAAAATGAGCTTTTCTAAGACCGATAAAGAGATGAATGAAATTGATATATTAAAATCAGCTCTAGAACAATTACCAGAAGAATTAAATACTCTCTTCACTCATTTACTTCGACTATGCTTTAAAATAGCTCAAAACGAAAAAATTAACTCAATGGGAAGTAAAAATCTCGCCGTCTGTTTGACACCTTCAGTCTTTTCTATACCAGAAGGAGAAACAGGTCAATTCATGTTACCATCCCTTTTAGGAATTATGACCCTCTTCATTAATAACTTCTCAACACTCTTCCCTAGATTCGCAGATCCAACACTCGCTTTCGCTAATGGCTCAAAATCAATCGCTGAGAAAAGAGAACGAGCCGCTACCGTCTCTGTCTCACAACAACAAACATCACAAGTCCCTCGCATCGTTCAACAACAAAAAAGACACGTCTTGGAAAGACCTTCGGACGTCGCGTTCTTAAGTCTCGACCCACCCTCAGTCCCTAAACGCCCACCTACTATGCAAATCGGATTCAAAAAAGAGGGGAAGCCAAAAGTGGGTGAAACAAAAGAAAGTGAAAAACAGCAAAAACTCAATAAATCAGACGGGACTAAACTAGAAAATACTAAAATCCAAGCTATTAAAATAGAAAAGCATAAAGAGGAAAAAAGAGATGAACCTGAGTTGAAGAAAAATCTCAACAAATCAGACCCACCACCAAAATTCGAAAATCTCGAAAAATCTGACAAAGTCGAGATCGCCGAGATCGCTCACTCAGAAAATTCTACTCAACTCGAAAAGCCTAAACAAAAACCTTTGCCTCCTTCTCGAAAAGCCCCGCCACCATCAAAATCACCAAAGTTCACCCGTCAAACTTTAAACCCAAAAGCTCTCGAGGACGACGGATCTGAATTAATGGAATTACTAAGCAAGAGAAGAGAGAAAAGCCACATTGACTAAATATTTTATGTTATATATAACATTTTGTTATTTTTTGTTATTTGAAATGTTATTAACAATTTTTATATTGGAATAATCTTAGGCAAATAAAGTGGCAATTAGAGAATGGAAGTCTTTTTCAAGAGCTTTGAGTGCAATTGAAAAACTCAAAGTAGAAACCATATTTTTATAGTAGAATAAACTAACAATAGATTGGTTCGACGGAATGAAAAGATGAAATCCAAATGAACTTCAAAAATCTGTTGGTGTTGAATGTCTTCGAAAATCACACTGAATGGTGCGCCACTCACACCCGAAATGATACAAGAACATATTCAAAATACTTCTGCGCCCCCATCGAATCGACAGTCAGGGAGTAGTGGAGACTGGGCTAATTCAACAGACTCATTGTTAGCACAAAACTCGAGTGGAGAGGAAACATTGAGTAAACCCGTCGACATCTTTCAAGAGTATTTGGATAACTTAAACGTGTCGTACGAGAAGTTTGAGAACTACGAAAACCTCGAGACGAATGAAATCATGATGGAAATTCATGTGACGAAGTGGGACAAATGCTTTATGATAACGTTTTTCATAGTTGGGATATTCTTTCCACCACTCTTATTAGTTGGTCTCATTGCGAAAAGAAAGTATAAAAATTCACAAAAGCTCGGTTCCATTTATCAGACAACATTGTATTTACTTTATTTGTATATGCTGCTGTTTGCGTCGGCCGCAGTTGTTGCGATTATATTTGGGTTCATGCAAATTTGATTATTAAGGTGATGTCTGTGTATATTTGGTTGATGGTCTTACTCTGTTAGTACATATATAATATAATTATTATAATTAAAATTATAAGAATATATTTTTTGGTGTTCGTTAACTTTAAAAAATTAACAAAATGTGTGGTGTAATTAGTTTTAAAAAAGTTTTGTATCTATTTTGGTTGTAAATAAATTATTATTATTACATGATTAATGTGTAAATAATGTTTTACCATAACAAACAGTGTGTCTTTGTTTTAAACTTCCTTTAAACAATTTAACAGATCAACAAAGTGTAAATGAAATAGGAGTTTGTTTATTACTTTGTATGTTAAACAATAATGGGGTGTGTTGAATAGATTAAATAACACTAGACATGACAAATTTGATATGTGGAATATTTTTTGTGTTTATTTACACTTGTATTGAATAAGAAAAAAAGACTTTCGTTAGGGATGAACTGGCGGATATTCTAAAAATAAAAACTTCAAATTTCTAAAGTAAAAAACTACTTTACTTGTGGTTAATTATTTATTAATTATTTATAGTTTTTATATATAGAGTAGACACAATTTTTGTGTTCAAAAAATTTAAAAGGGGATTCTTGATCTCTTTAAGTAACAAGATCATGTTCACAGCGAAACAACCAGTCAAGAAACCATTGCAACTAAAAACTGGAGCAACAAGAACCATCAAAGGGAATTCAATGACCTTCCATGGAATAGAGTCACCTCGGGAAGACAAAAAGGGGAAGGAAAGAAGTAGTGCTGAAATATCACGAGAAGAGGCTGTTGAGAAGGAAGGCGAAGACTTTTCAACCTCTTCAATAATAGGAGACTGTCCTCACTATATTAAAGTGCTTGGAACGAAAAGAGTTCTTGCAGCAGGAGACTCTATTTTTTATATGTGTGATGACTCGGTCTATTATTCAACAGAAGATACATTTGAAGTGAAAAAGACCAATTCAATCAGTAGAAGTGCTAAACATGTCGAAAAGGTTAATGATTCCCATTTCTTCATTTTGGATGATAAATTGGAGAAAGGTGTTCATAAATCTTACTCCAGTGTTGAAGGAATTATAGGTCCAAAATTCATCACAAGTTATGACAAAAGTTTGTTTGTCATTGACAAGTACAGAGACTGTTATGAAATCACAAAACATACCAAGACTGTTATCAGGGAAAATGTCATCAAAATTGCTGCTAATGCGACTCAAAAAGGATTTTTGTACGACAATGGGAGGATAGAAGTGACTGACAAATCAATCAAACCAAAAACGAATAACATTGATGTTATCGCTGGCAAAAGGGAGATATGGGGATTCAAGCAAGATGGTACAATAGAAAGTATGAGTGGCATTGTGGTTAATGATCACAAGATGTTGAGGTTATATTCAGGGTATGAAGAAATGGTAGGAGTTGATGAAAACGACAATTTATGTAATTTGAGATATTTGAATAAGATTCAGTGTAAATGGGAAGTACTTGGAAAGTGTGATGGAAGTGAAGTTGTGACTGGAAAAGGGTTTGTCATACTTGGAGAAAAGAAATGCAGTAACTTGTTTGTACCTTTCATTTTACAAGTGAGAAAATTTATTGCACAAGCGGAAGTATTCTTGTTGAACTACAAGGAGAACAAAGAGGAGGAGAAAATGACCAAAGAAGAAAAGAGAGCCGCAAGAAAGTCGTTGATTATTGACGAACACACTGAAGTGCAAAATAATGTACAAATTGCTTTGAGTGAATACAAAACAATGTTAAATGTTATAGACACTGAATTGTTAAAATTACACGTGTATTTGACACAGCTTCACACTCAATATTCTGAGCTCTCACAAATATTCGAAACAATTACAACATTTTTCAACGCGACTACTAAAGCGTTTATTGCACTTTCAAAAACTTTTGTAAAAATACAACAAATTATGCAAGTGTGTTATCAAACACTTCCAAACAATTTTAAACAATTTGAAGAAAAAATTACACCTTTGAATGCTAAGAACTTATTTGATAGAAGAACGGACATTCTGACTGTTCTTTTCTCACCATTTAAATTCCTTTCTGAATCAGCAAACTTCTTTTTGAACTTAAAAACAGACTTTTCTCCGTCTACTTTAGAATCAATATTGAACAAAAGCACTCTGCAAAATGTTTGCAATTTACTTGAAAAGGTTAATGAACGAATGAAATTTGGACTGATTTACACTTGGAATTCTTGGCATGCAAACGAAAAGGGGAGAATGGTAATGAGTACAGGTACTTTTGAGAATATTATTGAAATGGTTCAAAGTGATCTTTCCTTTGAACCAGAATTCAAAGATGTTTTTATCAACACCATTACTTTGTATTTCCCAACACATACAATTCTCCAAAGATTGTTTAAAAAGAAGGGGAAGAAACTAAACAAGAATTCACAAAAGAAAGTACTTGAGCTTATTAAAAGGTGGATAGAGACATCACCTGAAGATTTTGAAAAACTTGATGAACATAAAGAGTTAGTTAAAGAACTGTTCACACCAAATGAGAATGATACAAATGAAGACCTGAAAAAAGAGATAGAAGTGTTAATAGACAAGTGCATTCAAAGAAAGGAAGACAGAGCTCATGAAAAAAGTCCAATTGAAAATACTTTTGAAATTAATGACATCTTTGTTTTTGGAGAGAATACATTCTTTGCAGAAATAATGAACTATGTCCACAAATCTATATTTAATAAAATTAGTGAGCATGAGATAGTACATTTTTTCAAGAAAGAAAACACTCCAAACATCAAACAAATCACAACTTCATTCAATTGGCTATCAGAAATGTTATCAAAGATGATTAATGGGTCACCTTTGAGTATACAAACTGCTTTCTTGAATTTTGTCATTCAACTTGCTGAGACATTTTACCAATCTAAAAATTACTTTGGGTTGTGTGCCATTGTGTTTGCATTCCACAAAATTGGAGACTTCGAGTATATGAAAACAAATGTTTGTTTATAACTAGCTAACAGTGAATGTCTTAATATGAATATTATAAACATTTATTGAATTGTACTAACTATGTAGCTTTCAAAGGAAACACAAGATTCGATAGAGAGGTTTGAAAAACTTTGTTCGTTTGAAGATAACTACAAAAACTTGAGAAACCAAACAATTAACTCCGTCCCACCAATTGTACCATTTGGAGGAATTATGACAAAGGACTTTCTTGTGACAGATGAAATATATGCCTCATTTATCAAGCAGACTGGACAATACAACATTAACAAGTTGAGAACCATACACAAAATAGCGCAACAATACAAGAACTATCAAGACAAAGACCCTGTAGTTCCAAAAGAAGTGAACAAAAACTTATTCAAACGGATTAAAGAAGCACATGGATTATTTGATTAATTATATCTAAACTATTTATTCTGTTCAGTGTCGCATTCCTCAAAGTCAATTTAATGAGATCTGATCTTTCCGTGTTATAATACATCATAGAAACATATATAAACAACACAACCAATAACTTATTCATCTATCTAACACATTTCAAGTGCTTGCACAAACCTCTCCTTTCTCTTTGTCACAATTTTTTCCCCTGTGAGTTGTTGCAACAGCTTTGTCGTTACTATGACATAATTGAGTGGGAAATGGTCTGCGAGAAAAGTGTTTGAGACTCGAATAGTTGTGAAGCTTTTATTCTCGGCGGTATTCATCGAGAATTTTCCATCTCCTTCTCTTTTCATATAACAGACTTCCCCAACCGGCCACAAAGGTCCTGGTGAGAAGAAAGTGTCTATAGTATCGTCCAAGACTATTCCTTTTGCTTCGACCATTTCCTTAGCGGCTTGAGACGTTGACATTCCCTTAGCCATTTTCGATATAAACAACAAATAATCGAAGTCCATTTGTGTGAGGACTTTATTCATTCTTGCCACTAAATGTTTACAAGACGCCATTGAAAGGGAAGGTACCATATCGGAGTCAAAAATCACAGAATCAATTAAACTTCGGACTTCTTCATTTGTGGCTAGATTCTCTCCAAATATAGGAGCCGGTGCTATCGCATAGCAGTGGATGTCCCATTCCGGTCTCCACTGTTTAATTAAAAGTGTTATGATTTGCGCGACACTTCCACCTAATGAATGTCCAGTGATCAAGAACTTTAAATTGGGGTAGTTCTTCAGAGCATTTTCAATGTGGTCTTTTGCGTCTTTAAACGTCTCAAGAGCCGTTTTGTAGATTCCTGAATGGACCACACCGTCTTCGCCGTGATATGAAAATTCGGAGTTATAGAGGATCATGTCGCTGACTATATCATTCAGCGAGAAAGTCCCTCTAATGCTCAACACAAGGGCGTTGATCGAAGGGTCCAGCGCGATGAAATAGGCGCAACAAAACAGTGTTGGTGTGAAGTTATAGTGTAGGACCATATTTGGGAAGATTTCCGCACGAGAACAGATGTATGCAATTTGTATGGAAGTCCGTGAAGAGTTCTTTAAAGTCTCATCAAAGTCTTTTGAATCAATAAAAGTGTATGCCTTGTCGTGGTCATATCCATAAGCAGCTATCGAGTGTTTTGTCATCTTCACTAATGTCTTATAGAAGTCTATGGACTTGTGAAGAGGCTGGGACGGAATATCTACTGGTGGAAGACTTTCAAGTAACACAATTCCTGATATCGAGTCAATGCCATCAAACTCAAAAACAGAGTGAAAAAGACTTATCACTTCGGTGTACGCAGATGTGTACGTGGAAAGGGAGGAACGGATCGAATCGTTTAATGGTCCAGTAAACCAATGGAATAAAGTCCGACGCTCTTGTGTGGACATTCAACTATTTATAGTTATTTTTAGTTCTGTTTACTATTACTTGTTGGTTACATAAATAGTATTGTGTTATGATTTGATATTATAGTAAATATAATATATAAATTTACTATCACTATTTAATATGTTTTTGACGTAATGAGAGATTGTTTAAATTTTTTATTTTTTTTAATAGTTTAATTATAAATTATTATACAAGTAAAAAAAAAACAAATAAATTTATAATAATAAAACTAATAAATATGGTATATAAAATTTGTTTTGTTTTTATTGAAAAATGGAAAATCTCAAAGAGAAAATCAAAAAAGAAAAGGGATGACACACTTGGAGATGGTTTATCTCATGAACATTGGGTTGTTTATACCCCACACTAACGACATCTTCGTTTTCATAAACGTGAGTAAGAAATGTCAGACAGCTATTCGATCTCTTCTTATTTCTCCATGGTACAACCAGAAGTTGGATGTTCTATTCTCAAAACGAGAGACTCTTTCAATTCAATCATTCCACCAATACAATCCCATCGTGTCACAACTTTTCAAATCTCCAATTCGTGTTGAATTTCTAGATCCTCCAATTCTATCCGAAATCCCAGATTCTCTTGTTCCGCTCACTTCATCTGGCATCAACTTCCCGCGATCTCCTCTTTCAAATTTTTTCGAACTTAAAAGGTTTATTTTCCAGTTTGAATACGATCTCAGTAATCTGCAAGAGACCGAAACGACTCTAATGCAGAACGACTGGGATGGATTAGCTTCATTGCCAAAACTCAAAATTGTCATAATCAATTGCATTTACAAAGCAACACCTTTTCTCTTTTCCTTTGATTCCGTCCATTCTTTCAACAACATTTTAGTCCAACTCACAAAAAAATTGACCAGTCACGGGAACTTCCGTGTTGTTTTAGAAATGAAAGACTTGGACGACTATTGTGTAAACAAGCTTAAAACAAGCGATAGAGTATTTATGATGTTAACCGGCGTCGTGACGAAAAGCGTCGTAAACGCACTCTTGAATAATTCTTTAATTATTAAAAATTCAAGGAAAATACTTTTTAGCTACAGCCAAGTGATCGACGGGACATTTGAAAGACTCTCATGGTTATACGCCCCATCATCTGTAATTTTAAGATCCGTAGATTCATATCACATCGTTCTGTCTCCTGAAGAGAGTGAAGATGAGATTGAAAACGACGGAACGGTTGGAACGCAATATTTTGATTTTTCAAAATTTTTCTTCGTCGAGGACTTTGACGTATTGTTTGACAAAACTCACATTGAGATTTTATTACCAACAGAGAATTTGAAAAGACTTTCGACAAATTGCAAAGTCATAAATTTGCCTGAGATTCAATTGGAATCACTCGAAATACGATCGTTTGAAGAAAAGTTAAATTTTCCACAGACGTTAAAAGATTTATCACTTTTCAACTCACCTCTCACCGAGATTGAGGTGCCAGAACGGCTAGAGAATTGTTCAATAATGCAATGTGATAAATTGGTGAGTCTCAAAGTGCCAGAGAATGTGACACAACTTAGAGTGACCAATTGTTCTTTTCTCACTCAACTTACTATACCAAAACGAACGAGAAATGTGACTTTAATAAACATTGGTATAAAAGTCGTGACACTGCCGACTACTCTCACTTTTATGTGTATTGGAAGAGACGTTATAATCAACAATGAGGCAGATCTCAAAATTCATAATTCATTCCTCAGACTTAAAGGAGGTTGACTGTGATTTATATTGTTTTAAAAATAGTTTATTTTATTAATTGTATTGGTTTTCATTTTCTAATTAAATTATAATTAAATTGTACATTTTCATTTATATCAAGAAAAATTATAACAAAAAAAATCATTTCTTCGTATATGTTATTTAACACTTTAAATAACATTGAACTAAAATCAAGTTATCTAAAAATCGGGAAATCTCGACTTTATTAAATAAATTTCCGTTTTTTAGAGTTTATATTATGCGCATAAACATAACACAAGCCAAAAAAGGAAAATCATCAAAAATTTGATTAATATCCCTGTAAAAACAGGGATATTAATAAGGGCGTTATTTTAAGTGTAAAAAAAGAGGATAATTTTGGGGGTTTGATAACTTTTGAACAATTAATAAAAACAAAATCATGGTAAAAACATTCAAAAACTATTATGTGTTTATTATAACTAAAATGATAATTATCCAAACTAAATTTTTTTGATCTTCAATAAATAGTTTTTTTCAAATTAAAATACATTACATTTTTTTATATAACAATGTTATTTTTTAAAACCAAACATTGAAGCATATAATAAATATCAGAACACAAATAGTAATTTGTTCTTTAAATTAATTCTACCATTTAAACATACTCTTATAAAATTATATTTTTGTTAAAGAGTACTACAGTTCTCGCTATAAATAATATATATTAATTAATTTTATTAATCTAAATTGTTATTTTCAAATAGAATTATAAAGTTTTGAAATTATAATAATGTTTACAATAGCTGAAAACTACTTTAAAAAAGACCAATAAAATAATATAAAAAGGTCTTTGTGCCCCACGTCATCGACCCGAACAAAATAATTGAAAAAATCTCGACTTTCCTAATAATCTAAACTTAATAGAAAAACTAACCAAATGATCTAGTGTTTGTTTTTTTGTATAAAGAGAAATAGAAACAATTAATGTATTATTTAACAATAAAAAATCGAGGTAAGTATCTAGAATCCACTTCTAACTCTTTGTGGTATTCTTACAAAGACAGTAATAATGCTTTGAGATTTCTTCAACGGAGATATAGTTTGAGATTTGTTGTTCTGAGAGAAATCCCTGTCTTGTGTACCAGTTGGGTGTATTGTGAGTGGTGAGACATTAGAACACGAGTTATCCCATCTGTCAAACAAATGGAAGAACTTGTGATTTTTGTCAAGTTTGTATTGGCGTGGATAGATCAAGTTTTCTCTTCTAATAACTTGGCCATTGTTTTGTAATGTGTAAGACCATCTTAAAGTCCTCGGTCGCTGAATGGTAGCAGAACCAACCCATATATGACCAGGACGCCATGTCAATTTACGACTGGTCGAGTCGTCTAAAATGACATACAACTCCTCGCCATAACTTGTTTGGTAATGAATGCTAAATGCTACAGTAATCTGTGAAGAATTCATACTTTTCTTTTCGAGTTTTCCCTTTTAATAAGACAAGAGGTAAGGGGACATCCTCCGTGCTTCATATTACAGGCCTTTTGTCTCTTGATTTTGTTATTATCGGAGATTCCGTGCAAATACTAACAACAAAAAAATGACTGTTTTTTCGGGAAATAAGGCATCACGAGTTATTATACCATTTATTATGGTTTATTCTACTTTTAAAGTCTAGTTTTTTTATTTAAGAAAGCAATCAAATCATACATGAAGAACAGAATTCAATTAAGGTATCAATTAATATGGGTTATTATTAGGTGAAAAATAAACTATTTTTCGGGAATTTTTGGTGTAAAACAATTATTGGTTAATTATGCTTTTTTTATTTCTTTGTCAAAAAAACAAAAAAATAATTAAGTTTTGCTTTTTTTTCTGAAGTTTGTCGTTGTTTTTGATATAGTGTTCACAAAATATCTATTTCACATATTTTTTTTTCGAAAATGGTTATAGTTGATCAAACTATTTTTAAAAATGTTTTTTTGTAGTTCGTTGTAAACTACGTTTTTAAATTAAATTTGTTGGCCGTTATCCCGATTATTAAGCCTTTTAACACATTGGTCTGTTTAACCAATTAAAAAAAAAAAGACTCAACATTTTGGTATTGTTTTTTAAAATAAACCATTAAATTACTATTTTTTTAATTGTTTTTACCACAATATTAACCAATAGTGTATAAAAAGCATATTATTGTCTTTAAATAAATTTGTTTTCAGGAAGAAATTCAACATTAATAAATAGGTGTAAAAAACGTTATGAAACGGGAGATTTGTAACATCGTTTTTTTTTCTAAACTAATTTAAAAAACAACTAAATAATTGAATAATCAGAGATGAAAAACCCTACAATTATTTAATGTTAAAAACAAAGATATTAATTAAAAAAATATATATTTTTAATAATAATAAACAATTTAAAAAATTAATATATAATTAAAGTGGATAATAGTTTGAAATTTTCTCAATAATAATTAAAAAAAAATTTCACTCTTAAATAATTAACTTTTTTTTCAAAATACATAAAATAAATTTTTTTAAAATTATGGGAAAGAAAAATCAAAATTAACCAATTTAATTACTTGTGATTCAAAAAATATCTAAATACAGGAATTCATAAATTTTTATTTTCTTGTTATTTTATACAACTGAATAAAGTTACATTTTGATGTACGGATTTTAAAGTCATTTTATAAGTATTATATATAGTAAAAATAATAATATTTTTGATAAAATTTATTTACTAATTACAACAAAACACAAACTTAAAAAACTTTTATTATTTTTTTTGAAAAAGCAAAGAACTTTATTTTAAAAATTTATTTCTTCTTGTTTTTACTTTATTGATTATTTTGATAATTTATGTTGGCAAAAAAATCTTTTTGTCTTAAATTTTTTATAATATTTAAGTAAATATTTTACCATATTTTAAGATTTGTTATTTTAATTTTTAACTTTACATCAATTATTTCAAAAAGTGTTTTGAATTGTGTATTATACTTTTATAATTAAATTATTACAAAAATTCTCAATTTTGTAAACTATAATTTATATAAATATTATGTATAATAATATCAAACTTTGTAATTGTCTTCACTTATTAAAATTAACCAATAACAAAAGAATGACATTTTACAAAGAGAACTTAAAAGAACTTAAAATTGTAACACAAATGAATGCTCCAACCCCTTACGAGTATGAGTCACAGATAAAACCAACTGAAAATGTTGGAAATGATAACTGGAAGCTTTTAAGGCGCCAGTTAGTCTTTGGTTACTTTGAGGAGGAGGTGTATGAGAATGGCTATGGCAAACAAATAACGAACTTTTCATCAATAAAAGTCCTTCAAACTCCTTGATTTATTGTTGATATATTTTTAGTTTTTTTTACTATTTTTTTAGTTTGTTTGTTATTATAAAATTATAATTAAATATACTATATTTTGTTTTGAAATAGTCATTTATAATTATAGTTAAAATAAACTAGAACTCTAATTTACCAAACACTGATGACGGACGTGTTAAAAGTGCTTAGGGTGCTTGAGAAATCACCATCGACTGTGAGTGAAATAATTACAGCAACAGAATTGGATAAAGAAAAGGTCATAACAATTCTAAGCCATTTAGGCACAGAGGGAATTACTTCGTTTGTCTTGTTTCATTTACTCAATCACACTTTTATAATAAAAAAATCACAGAAAGAAAAAAGAAAATTTCAGACGAAGAGTTTTACTACTCTCGCGTCGTTCCAGCACAGAGCGAGATTGACAAAATGAAAGCTGAGATTATTGAACTCAACAAATCGTTTTTCGAAAGTTCTGCAAAAATTTCCGATTTTGAGAAGACAAGCAAGAACTCATTGGAAAAGGTCCACTTGTACAACGACACAAAAGACGTCGGACAAATGCTTTTAGGAAAACTTGGTCAACTTGAGGGAAAGACGATCCATGAGTTATACGATGACTACGGCTTGGATCAAGAAGACTAATATTTGTATAATTTAATCTGGTTCTTTTTATTATTAAAATTAACTAGACGTACACAATTATACTATTAATTTAAAGTATTAATTATTATTAACAATAAGAAACAAATAATTAATAGTAGTATAAACTATAAAAGAATTATTTTATTTGAACTGTAAAACTATGCAATACTAATAAAAGAACCAATAACAAATAGTAGAAGTGAGTTAGAGTTTACTTCTGTTCAGTGTAGTCGACCTTATCGAAGAAGGTCTTTCTCGGCTCCAACTTAAGTGGCATGAACGCGACACCGTCACCGACGTAGAACTTATTCTGGAATTCGATCCAATGTAATCTGAGTGTGTGTAAGAAGGCGGAGAGGGATTCCATCCCGATCAAAATGGCCAACGTGATCATAGCCCAAGCGCCAAATCCGACGAAAATGGTGACGCAAATCTTCATTTCGAGTAACAAATAGAACACATTCTCAAGGAAGACAGAACTCAGTTCTGCGTGTGCAAGTGACAAAGCCCAAAGTCTTAAATAAGAAGCTGTATTTGAAATACAGCCAAGAATGAATTCGATGCCATGAATTGAATTGAAAATGATGATCTCCATTAACGAATTTCCTTCTTCATTGTCCTCTTCTTCGACATCTTCCTTCTTCATATCTTTTCCATCACTAATTAACCCATCAGACTCATCAGCAACTTGTGGAATGACACTCTCATCTACCATCGGGACTTCATCGACGGTATTTGTCGAATTTGGATTGTCATTAAGTAATGGTTTGTTCTCTATATGCGCTTTCTGTTGCTTTCTAAGTCGCATGTAAAGGATGATTGGCTTTGGGATGAACATTATAAGTATAGAAACAACTACTAGAGCTAATAATATCGGCTCGATTATAGCTTGTCCACTGTATATCTTATTGGCTTCAGTAACAACACCAAAGTTCTGGAACATCTCTAAGAACACATTTGTTAACATCGGAGCACCTTCTTGAACAGGGGCACACCACTTGAAGATGATTAAGAAACATAAATAGCCGAAGGAACACACCATAAAGATCATCTCTGGAATCCAATGGAACCAGACATTGATCAATTTCTTCGCATGAATATAATTAAAGACTGATAATATAATACCAAAGATCATGTGGAAGACACCAATTAAGATCGACAATTTCATCTTTAAGGAATTCACATAGTACAACTCATTGTTCGAAGCTTTCCAAATGGGATCAACACCAAAGTAATAGATCTTCCCACTATCAGATCGCTCATATACCTTCTTCTCTTCATTACGGACATCCCAACCAGTCCCAAATAAGTCAATTGAAAACCCAAAGAACTCATTGAAGACACAGCCACAATACATCGCATAACACCCCATCAGTAATAATAAGTATCGCGCATCAAATAACATCACAAAGATATCATTCATCTCTTTCCCTTGTAACTTCTTCGCAAAGATGATGAAGGCTAAGCCTAACAAGAAGATGAATAAGCCATGGCCAGCATCAGAAAACATCACACCAAAGAGCCATGGGAATGTTACTATATTCAACCACGCGGTATTGATCTCCCCATATCGTGGTGTACCATATGAATCCGTTAGATCTTGAAATGTTTGTGTGAATGAATTGTTCTTAGTGTATGTTGGAATGACAGCTCGAGGTGGAGGAGCAATTGGTGATAAAATAGGTGACATGTTACTTTGATCCAACTGCCCAAGCTTCTGGATGATATCATCAAATCGGGCAGAGGGATACCAACACTCTCCAATCAATGTCTGTCCCTTCTCGACTTTAAACATATTTAATGTGAAGAAGATCAACTTCTCGCGAGTCACCGTCTCTTTCCAATCTTCTAACTTAATCGCCACTTTCTTTAACATCTCTCGCTTTTGTTTTGTCGAACTCTCAAAGACTGAGGACAACTGTTGCTTGTTACTCAAAGCCTCTTCGACAAAATTTCGACGTTCTTGTTGGTCGATAGGAACTCTAGTGTACAACCGAACACCTAACGATTGACACGACTTGTTGATTTTGATTTCTAAATCATCGCCTTGGAATAAGACTAAGAAGTTTCGCAAATGCGAGTTGTCGGATAAATCTTTCGACTTTATCAAAACAAGTCCTCGAGAGATTCGCCATATAAGTCGTTGGACAGAGTCATATTTGGACTTCTCTATAACTCCTATGACATACTTCAATCCACCTACATTGACATCGTCCATGTTTTCAAACAATGAATCGATGTTGTTCGATACTAAAAGTCCTTCTTCTATCTTCTCTAAGTCATTCTCTGTTGCAGCACAGTCAGTCTCAATCTGCTTCAAATCCTTTTCTAAAGACTCTAACCGTAACTCTAAATTCTCGGTGGACTCTTTGTCGGCGTCATAGATCTCCGACTTGCGCTGAAACTTCAGACCACCCATGTCCTCCCGAGATTCTTCTTTTGTTATCATCTCGTTGAAGTATCGCATCTTGCGCTCTAACTCATCACAGCGCTTTAACTCATTGCAAAAACGACGGTTAAAGGTTAGCTCCGTGCTGTTCAAGTCAACAAACTGAACACAGTTTAACTCACCTATTAATTGAATGGTGTCCTCAGCGACACTCATCGGGACTATCAACTGTCCGTACGATACTGGCTGTGATCGGATTAACTCACCCATTAACTTTAAATTAAAGTTTCAGGGCTTTACTGTTGCCTTAGCCAAATTTTGTGGTCATTTTGATATCAAATCTGTTTCTGGGCAAAGCTTGTTAGGCATGGTTGTTACTATTACTATTTTGTGTCAACAAATTTGCGTCTTTTGTTATTTAGAATTCTGAATAATAAAATTGTAATTTTAAATATTAGAAATATATAATAAATGGTGGTTGGTTGATAAAATAACAGAAAAACAACCTTTTTGGTACAAATACAAACAAAAACAGCATTCCCGCTTGTTTGGTTTTGAAAAAAACGGTGAAGACCTCTAAAAAATCTTGTTAGAAATAAGGTAGAGAATAACACAAGTCACTTAGTTTTGCTTATGTGATCACAATGATAGCGTGGATAAGACCTGGGAGGTAAAGCAAAATTGTCAGGACAAGGTTAATAAGGAAGTCACAGCCACACCCCTTCTTTAAAAGAACGGCAAGTGGTGGAATGAAAATCGCAACAACAATCAGGCAGAAAGTCGAGCACCCCATTTTCACGTTGAAATTTCCTTGTTTTGGGTGCCTTATTTGTGCCTTTATTCCACACTCTGTTGTCATTCAATCAATCACACAATCACTGTTTCGGCTATTTTTCGACAAGAAAACTAAAAAATGTATATATTTTTACTATTTCTTTTTTTTGAGTTTTTATATTTAAATTAATTTTATTTTATAAAAAATCAAATAAATTATATTAATGAATTATCCACAAATATTAATAATTTTGAATAACACAATAAAGTATAATTATTTCCACTTTAAAAAGATTTGTATTAATATAGTTTCAAAAACTATATAAATAATTTTTCAAAAAAATATATTGGATTTCCTACAACCAAATAAATTCGAAAATTATTTACTAAACCTTGTAATAAACCATTCATTTTTTTTCTGAAAAACCTCAGCGATTTAATACAGTAAATTGAAAACTTAAAAAATCAATCATGGAACAGCTTGTCCAGCTTTTAACATCGGCTATGAACCCCGCGTTGCGCGCTGAGGCGGAGAGATGCCTTGAGGCTGCAAAACAACAAAACGTTGAGCAGTTCATTGTCATGTTGTTACAAGTTCTATTGGCGCAAAACTTAAACACTGATGTCCGCATGATGGCGGGAATTCTTTTCAAAAACATGTTCAAAGGCCGTGGCAAAACAAACGAGGCAATGGCCCAGAAGTGGCGTGAAATCGATGATCAGACGCGGTTGAACACACACGGCGCAATTTTCAAACTTCTTTTGGACCCGAACCCAGAGATGCAAAACCTTGGAGCAAACATCGTCTCGAACATTGCAATCATCGACTTACCTTTAAACAAATGGCCTGATTTGATGACTTTTTTGCTCTCTGACATCACCATGGCAAAGTTAAAGGCCGTGGTTGCAATTTTGGAAGACTCGTCATTTTCCGTTATTTCTCCCTTTATCAATGCGATCTTTATGGCGTCTCTCAATCTCGTCAATCAAAATCTCAACTTCGTTCCGTCCGTCATCAAAGTTTTCGAAAATTTAGTTTGCTTTAAGGACATTATGAAAGATTTTAACTACCGTGGACAAATTGAGAAATTTCTTTTGACAGCAGTTCAACATCAAAATAATCTCATCAAAATGAGTGGTTTCCAGGCTCTTGCCGTTTTTGAAGAACTTAATATTGAGTATGTTTTCGAGATCCAGCATGAACTTGCAATCATTTCAAACGCGATTTTGGCCACTCCATCGAATGGAAATGACGATATCATTGAGCTCCAAAAAACTGTTTGTTTTTTGTTTCATCGATCACAAAATGACATTATTGATTATTTGAGATTGAGAAATCAAATATCATGGTTTATTAATTAAATATTTTAGTTGTTGATAACTAATCATCAGGTGATGACGTTTTGGCAGAATGTCGCGGTGTTTGAGGACACTCATTTTAAAACCGAAGTGGATACCGGTGACGTAACAGTGAAAGTGTTCCCAGTGGTTCAGAGTTCATTGATCCAACTTGTCGGTATGGTACAATCACAGACCGAAGAAATTGATTCCAACGAACTCTGCTTTTTGGCGCAAGATGCGCTTAATGCGATGGTTTCCGTTGTTGGAACAGCACCGTTGGAAGATCTTTCGACTACCATTTGTGGTGCGTATATGAATCAAGACTGGAGACTTCGATTCCAGGCGATGAGTGTGTTTGCCAGTATGTTGGTCAAAATTGACGAGAAACAAAGCATTGTGAAGGAACATATCAAACACATATTTAATTTGTTGAATGACCCGATACCAATTAATAGAGCAACAGCTGTGTATGCCATCGCAAAGGCGCTGACACTCTATCCGGACTTCTTTAAAGCTGAGGCGAAAGATATTGCCAATAAGATTGTGAGTATGATTGAAGACCAATTCGATGTGGTCAAGATAGCAGCTATTAGGTTTTTCAGTCGTCTTAACGACACGGAAACGTTCACAGATCACGCGTTTGAGGAACAATCGGTGAAGGCTTTAATGGAAATGTTCATTGGTGGCGCACTGAAAAGCAACAACGCGTTTTTGGCGAATCAATTTTTGACATCAGCTGCGAACGTTGTGAGGGGGTATGAATCGTATTATGTAGCTTGGAATGTCCTTGGGTTGCTGTACAAGAATTGTTTGAACACGAATTTGTTCAAAATGGAGCTGATTGGAAGTACACTTGTTCTTATTGAAAATTGTGTGTTGACGTGTAACAAACTATTCATTCAAAACAAAGAAGTGTTAAATGCGACGTTTGAAATTGCGTTCAGAAGCGCAAACGCGTCGCCAGAGCAGGCATTTATGTTATTGGGAAGTTTATGTGGGCTCCTTTATGGAGAAATAGACAATTATTACCCCGTACTGATGAAGAACGTCAAACAGTGGTTGGCGAATTGTTCAAATCCAAGTGTTTTTGTCTTTTTGATGGACCTTGTCGACGACATTGCGACGAATTCAACACAATACAACAACGAAGACTACGTGTTTATCGTTGACCAAATTATGAAAGTTGTGAGAGGAGACGAGTACACCATTGCTCAGAAGATAGAGTTGGCAAGTGTAATAGGGGATTTACTTCGAAAGTGCGCTGCGGGTATCAATGTATATGTTCCACACATATTAAAACTCGCGTTTGATCTCATGTCGTCAGAGTGCGACGAAACACAAGAATCAATTAAAGCAAAGACGGATTGTGAGTTCGCTGCTTTGTATGTGTTGTCAACCATTCTTCAAAGATACAACACATTCCCAGACCTGTTACAGCTCGATAGTATTATATACCAATTTTTTGTGTTATGTATATCTAGCAAGCATTTTGGAACCCACCAGAGAATGGTTGTGTTCGTGTCACAAGTGTTTATTGACTTCTTCGCGTTGAGTACAATAGTGAGTTCAAAGCTCATCAAGTCCGAAATTATGAACAAAAACATCGAAAAGCTTGTTCAACGTATTGACTTCTTTACACCTTACGGAGACGATAGAGACCAGTTTAAAAGACTCAAAGCGCTTATACACAGCAAATTCCCTGAATTTGAATAATTTTTTTTGTAAATTTTGAAGTTATTAATTTGTAGTAATTTTATTAAGAAATATAATTTGAATTTAATTATTTATTATAAAAGGGTTATACTTTTAATATAATAAAAATAACTATTAATCAACTATTAATAACCAAACATGGAATGAACTCAATAAAAGTACTAACAAAACACATTTGGTTGAGTATGGTTTGTTGATGGTGTTTGTTGGGTCGACAGAAAAATTGACGAGTAGACTGGCCACAAGGGTTTCTCATATAAAATCAAGTTGGGCAAGAAGATCAAACAAAATAAAGGTGTCCCACAGTTTTACAGAATGAAAACAGGAAACACAATGAATTACAACTTCAAAAGAAGACACTGGAATAGAAGAAAGTTAGGAATGTAACGAGGTTGCTTTGGTCTTTTATGTTACTCTTCAAACCCTTATTATTATTTATAGAAAATAATATAGTTTCTTTTTTTAAAAAATATAGAATATGTCATTTTAACAAACTTAAAATAGAATTTCTGAGTAAAATCCATTATTAGTATTATTAATAAAAGTATTAAAAAAGTATAATTTGATGTGAAAGAACAAATGAAGAGGATTTAACGAGAGACCGAACTAATAACCCTAAAAGATGGACAAACAATCGAAGAAGCAACGCAAAGCTGGACGAGTGAACATGAGCAAGCACTTCATTAACCCAAAGCAAGTGTTTAAACCCGAAAGAGGAGCACCGATGGAAGAGGACTCTGACGATGATGTATTTGATGAAGACGAGTTGAACCAAGAGGAGGGAGACTTACAAGAAGAAGAGGAAATTGTAGAAGAGAATAAAGATATGGAAGAAGACGACGGGGAAACAGGACGGGTTACTGGAACTAAAGACGTGATTGAAGACCCCGAAGAAAAGGTCAAAGTAGTCACAGAAGCGTTCATCCCAGGACAAAGTATGGCAGAACCTAATGAAGAACTTGAAGTGTCTGGTGGGGCTTATAAAATGCTTCACACGCTGTCATTGGAATGGTCGTGCATGTCATTTGATTTTGTACCGGACACCCTCGGAGCATTGAGAGAACAACCGCCACACACTTTATATTTCATCACTGGGTCTCAAGTGGAAACTGGGATATCGAATAAAGTGTCTTTAGTCAAAGTTTCATCGATGTGTTACACTAACGAAGACGAAGAGTCGGAGGACGAGGACTCTGAAAACAATGAACTGAAACCAAAAATAGAACAAAGCTGTCCGTATAGTGACCCCGTTTTGGTCTCTTCTGAAGCCAAATTTCCAGCTAATGTGAATAGAGTCCGTACATTAAAACAAAAGCCCGGGTATGCTGCGTTATGGGGAGATAATGGGAACATCTATGTCTATGATATGACTGCCCATTTTGAAGGAGTAGAAGGGGGCATTTCGGTGAAAGGGAAAGAGGTGAAGTCGGTGTTACACCAACAATGCGAAGGGTTTGCGTTAGACTGGTCTTCTGTAGTAGAAGGTCGTTTGATCAGTGGATGTCTGAATGGACGACTTTCATTATGGGAATATGATGGGAGTGAATGGAGAGGGTCACCAGAATCGTATTTAGGGCATAAAAAGTCGGTTGAAGACTTACAGTGGTCACCGAATGAAGCGGACGTGTTCTTAAGTTGTTCATGTGATCAAACGATACGGTTGTGGGATGCTCGTAGTAAAGAAAGATGTGTTAAAAGTATTAAAGCGCATGGGAGTGATGTGAATGTGATCAATTGGAATAAGTTGAATACATTCCAAGTAGTCTCAGGAGCAGACAATGGTGAGTTGAAAGTGTGGGATTTCCGTACATTTGATTTCCCTATTGCGACCTTTGATTGGCATAAAAAAGCTATCACGTCAGTCGAGTGGTGTCCTCACGACGAAACTTCGTTCATGGCTAGTAGCGAAGATGACACCGTCTCTTTTTGGGATATCTCTATGGAAGCAGATAAAGAGGCGGCAGAGAAGTATCACGTCCAAGAAGAAAAGATCCCCGCTCAATTGATGTTCTTACACCAAGGACAGAAAAATATTAAAGAAGCACATTGGCACCAACAAATAAAAGGTGTTGTCGCAACTACAGCCTGGGACGGAATGAATGTTTTCCAGCCTTGCAATTTCTGATTGAATGCTCTGTTTGTTGTGTCTCCGCGTTTTCTTCTTTTCTGTCTCTGAATTTTGGAAACCCCTTTTTCATTCTTTTTTGCACTTTTACAAAAAGAAATTGTGACATTTTCTCTTTTTCAATAGAAAGTGGATGAGACCCGAAATATGAGGACAAAAGTGGCACAAAATTTCTTTTGAAGGAAATGAAAGGAAAAGATACAAAACTAGAAAATACCTTTTCAAAATAACTAGTGAATGAAAAGTACAGACAAAGGAAACACTATTTTAACTCTTGCACCACCTCCACCTATGAGGGAAGAATATTCATATGACGACGATAGGAAAGAACAGAATTCGATGTCAGAGGAGAAAGAACAAGATGAATCATATTCCGAATCTATCGACACAGAAGAAGAAGAACTTATCAGAGAAAGTATTCAAAGTAACCCTTCGGTATCATCTCTATATTCACAACCTCCTCTTTCATCATCATCAACACAAAAGAAGAAATTTGTTTATATCTTCAAGAAGAGAACAACAGCAAAACAGTTCACTGAAGACGTTTTGTTCGAGATATCAAAGTACTTTAAAACAGAACATGACTATCTCACGTTCACACAAATCAACAACAGATGTTCAGGAATTATCGACCGATTCACGTATAACCCTATTAGGGCTTCAAAACTCTTTAAAAACGCGACGGTACAATACCTAACATCACCCACAGACCTACGCATCCCAAACGCGAAAACATTTGTTTGGACGTTTCCTTGTCAACTGTCAAAGGCTCAAAGACTCTCTGAAAAAAACATCTTCCTCAATTTGCAGATCAACGCGGGCTATGTCGAATTCTATGGACCAAAAATCCCCGTGGAGGTCAACACAATCGGCGAGAAGACGTTTTACATGAGAAAAGACGTGGAGAAAATTTGTATCCCAACACGTGTCCGGACGGTGTCGAAGATGGCGTTTGAGGGGTGTGAAAGGTTGCGGAAGATTAACATCCCACAAAGTGTCACAACGTTGGACGATATGTGTTTCAAAGGATGTGCAACACTTTCCAAAATCACAATGACAGACTCCATCAAGAAAATCGGCAACGAGTGTTTCAACGACTGCCAACAACTTGAATTTCCAAAGCTGCCTTCCCTCTTGACAGAGCTTGGCAGTTTCGCATTTTTGAACTGCAAAAAGTTGACAGTGGTCGACATTTCTTCCTTCATTCAAGTGCTCCCAAAAAGTTGTTTTGAGGGGTGTGACCACCTTCAAAAAGTCCATCTTCCCGATGGTTTGATGAAAATTGGGGAATACTGTTTTTCGAAATGCACAACACTTGAATACTTGGAATTGCCAAAGTCCGTGAGTGACGTCGGTGAGTCGTGTTTTTCGAATTGCGAGACGTTGAAGAACGTCTCGTTTGGGAATAACTTGAAAAGAGTACCAAAGATGTGTTTCATGGATTGTCATCAATTGGAGAACGTCGTCGGACTTGAGCACATCGAAAGCCTTGGCGAAAATTGCTTTGAAAACTGCGAGAAACTGAATAATGTGTGTGTTGGAGAAAACGTCGTGAAAGTGTCAGAGAATTGCTTTTTCAGCTGTACAAGTCTCGACAACGTCACACTACCGAAGCGGCTTGAAACAATCGAGAAGAACGCATTTTATAACTGCAAGAGTCTGGTTGAGATAGACTTGCCAAAGACGTTAAGGAGTATTGAAGATGGGTCTTTTCAGTTCTGCTCAAACCTCGAGTTTTTGATATTGCCGCCAAAGCTTGTCAACTTTGGAAGAAATTGCTTTAAAGGGTGTAAGAGACTTGAGGAACAGATTCTTGTACCTGACGACTGTTTTGGTGTGTTCAATGATTTTTAGAAAGTGGTGTATTAAATAGTTTTTGTGTTTTAAGTTAAGAAATAGAATAAGAAATAAATAACTAATAATTCAAAAAATAAACAAATTATTGACAATCAAAGCTGTTAATTGTTGATATAATAATAATATGTAGAAGTAAAAACATGAAGACAACATGTGTGTGGTCTTCAATAACCGAAGGGGGTGTTTTGGGAGACAAAGCTGTTGTACGAACACATTTCATCATCATAATAGCTACTGTCTTTCATGAAAAACGGCTGTTTGTTCTCGCCACAACAAGTTGGTTGTTGGACAAACGTTTCGTAAACGGTTTGCGGGAGAAATCTTTCATCTAAATTTTGCTCTTTCTTGATTTCAGAAAAAACTTGATTGTTTTCATCTTCTTGTGGAACTATAACATAGTTTGGTGTAAAACATTGATGTAAAACATTCTGTTCAACCAAGTTTTGCTCTTTTTGTTCTGGGACGGAGCTTTTTGGAGTCAGAAAAGCGTCTGTATAAACGCCTGATGGGAACAACGTTCCAATATCGCCCGACGGAAACGGTTGATCGTTTTTGGTGGGTTTGACGCCTTTTTGGTCTTTCTCCAGTTCGTTGTGTGGACTGATGACCTCGATCTTCATGTCGTCGACTTTTTGAAACATTTCAACCCCAACTGGTAGTGCTGGGGCAGCCACTTCGCTTTTGTGTTCGTTTGAATTTTCGTTAATGGACAAATCGTTAATTATATAATTGTTATCGGTGGCAACGCTCCCTCGATTCACAAGTTTGTCACAGACTTCCTTGACAATCTTCGATACGTCTTCATCGTTTCCTTTGACTTCCACAACAGCACTCGCTTTATCAAATCGTTGATAGACAAGTTCGTTGATTCTTTTTCCGATCTCAGAAATTTCGACAAGCGTCATCGTTGTTTTCCCACCCACCGCACATATTTTGTTCATTTTCTTTGTATATTTTGCTGGTTTAGTTGATCTCTTTTTGAACTCGTATCCCAGTTGTTCACACCTTTCCATTATCCAGTTGAACGAGGTCGCAGTTTTGTTGGCGTCTCTGTGTCGTTTTATTTGCTTCAGCCTTTCCAGTGAGATACCATCAACGGCGGCTCTGGTAATAGACGCAATTGAATCGACGTCGGATGGTGTGAGGTGTGTATAGTTTGACTCTTTAAGTTCCTTGACGACAAACGACGAGCAAAAAGCGTCCAATTCTTTTTCGAAGGGAATCGCGCCGTCCATAGGCGTCTTGAGTTCTTCAATGAGAAAAAGTTGGAGTGTTTTCTGAGATCGTCGTTCCGGTCTTTTGACCTTGAACCCAACACCGTTGATGTTCAACAAAGCCAACACAAACGCTTGTTGCATTGCTTCAAAACTTTTCGAGCATCTCTTCAGTTCTTTGAGTGAGGCGGTTTGTTTGTTCTCGTTGCTTTCCATTGGGTTTGTATTATTTTCCGTTCTTTTTTTCTTCTTTTCTGTGGTCTTGTTTCTCGTTTTTCACTCATTTTGTCATCTCAACTGTGCCACCAAAACTTCGGGGTTTCACCTAATCTCTCGGTCTTAAAAAGAACCAACCAAATGTGGTTTTTGTTTGACGTTGGAACAATCTTTGACTTATCAAAACCTTCTTTCTTCGGCATTTTATTCTTTTGGTTAATATCATTCCATTTTGTAAAATGTTTTGTGAACAAAACCATAATTATGTAATTATAAATACTATTAAATATATAGTGTTGAATTTATTAATAGAATGGCCAAAACGAATTGAGTTTGGTAAGCACTGAATTTGAAGTTTGTGAAAATAGAATTTGACGTTTCTTTAGAACTAATAATAAATGAACTAGTAATAAATGATGTTAACAAACTTTTCATCAAAACAACAGATTGTGTAATACAACATAATGAACTGTTCTGAATAGGTGATTATTTCAAAAGAATTTCTCTGTATTTGTTGTGAATTGTAATTCCCAAACCCTCATTTGTCCACCATTGATTTTTAAGTTCTTTTTTTCTTTTTCTCAAAAAAAATTTCAATTTTGATTTGTGTGTTTTAAAATGGTTTATTATCTATTAATAAACCATATATTTACTATATTCTATATCGGAATTAAATAATAAAACATATAGATTTTTTGTATTATCAGAATTCCGTTTTATTTGGTAATACAAATAATAAAAGCAAAGAACACGAAATAGTAAAAATAAACTATACATAAAATTAAACCACAAAATAATTAAAAATATAATAAATATCATAATAATATAGTACTGGATTGAGTTCGGTCAAATCACACCACTCTTTCCTCATTCACACTATTTAGCTGACTTAACAAATAAGGCAGCAATCCTTTTTTTGTTTCTTTTTAGTTTTTGGGACCTCTTCCAAACTGTCATTAATTTGTTTTTCTCCCTCCTTCATTCCGATCTTTTCGATCATTAATTGAAATAAGTCATCGACTTCACTCTTTGACTTCGTTGAGATTTCTCTAAATATAAACCCCTCGTTCCGCGCAAGTTCCTCTGCCTCATGTGGCGAGACATTTTGATTTGCGGCTAAGTCCTTTTTGTTCCCAACCAAAAACTTCGTTGCGGTTGTCGGCGAGTGATATTTGATATCTTTCATATATCCCTTCACGCTCTCAAACGAGACGGGGTCCGTGACATCATACATTAAAAAGATCCCATCAGTCTTGTCATAATATTTTCCCGACATCATACAATTCCGTTGACGGCCACAGACGTCCCACTATGTCTTAGTACTTAATTGAATTTATTATTAATTTAGTATTTAATAATTAATTATTAAATTTAATACCACTTTTTAATATATAATAATAATTAACAAACTATTTGAAGTTGCATCTCAAGTTCATTAAAATGTACCAGTTTCAGTTGACACATCTGATTGTCTTTGTTCTCCTTGTAAACTCCGTTCTCGACGTTAATTCTTGGTTTTCTATTTTAATAATTATTATTACTAGTTGAGTATAGTTTTCAAGTATCGCAATGAGTATAGTACATGTACTAAAAAAATACTAGAGATGAAAACAGAAGACAAACACAAAATTGACCAACAAAACATGACTTTCCAACCCCATCATTTCCAACCATCAAAATCTTTTTTGACAAATGAGATGTTTGCATTTGAAGAAATTCGTCGTTGAGGACATCGGACATTCCGCGGGGAAGTGTTTCGAGTGTAGTTGTTTCGTTGTCTGAAGTTTGAGTGTTGTAGCACCGCTTTTGTTGCTGCATTTGATTTTTTTCAAGTTTTTTTGTTCTTTTTTGGAAAATGAACTTTGTTGTAGTGAAACTAAAAGGTGTAACGATACAATGGCTTCCTTTTGCAAAACGCAGTCGAAAATGACAGAGGAAAACGGCAAAAAAAAAGTAGGGCACTTTTTGGTCGAAAAATTTTTTGGAAATATTTCCAAAAATGCTCGTCAATAATTTAAATGCCGCTTTCCACTCCAATCTCGGCCAAGATTGTCCTATCTGTTCCGGAATTCTAACCTTCTTCGTTTTGGGGAATTATTTATCCAAATTGAAGGGATTGTTTGACTTATTGCGATTACCCCTTTAACACTTGCTGTTTTATGGTAATCTTATTATATTTTTATTTTTATTATTTAATTATCCCGTTATAGTACGATTGAATTGTCTACTATTGTGGTTGTTATTTATATTGTTTCTTTTTGAAACAAAGAGCGTGAAATGCCGAAAGAAAGGTAAAATGAAAAGAACTATAATTAATGCCATATTTTTTAGAAGGGGTAACAGTAATTAACTATTTTGATTATTAAAATGCTCATTTGTTTTACTATAAACAATCCCAAATGACAATTCAACTTCTTTTTCATCTTCTACTTTCTTCGCGAAGATCGAAAATTAATTTCCCGCGAATTCTCTGAGAAAACTGAGCTATTTACCAACAAAACGACCGTAATAATGCAAAAAAGGTTCACATATTCAGTACTCCAAAAATAATACTCGTCAAAAGGATTTTTAAAAAACAATATTAATATATTGGCTTAATTAATACTACAAATTCAGGAATTTTTTGCTGATAAAAAGTGCAATAGAAGTATTACCCTTTCCCACAAATTGTCTTGTTCTTATATGCTGAATTTGCGAGTATTTTTTAATTCGTTCCCAAAATTGTAGCCATGAAGGTCTTTTTAATATTGCTAAAGTTATTGAATAAAACATTTGGAACCAATTGATATAACAAATGAAATGATAGATTTGGATTGTGTTGCCATAAACAATAAAAAGTAATGTATTTCGAAACAAGTTAGATTTAATTGTTCAAAAATATTATTAAAGTTATTATTTTGCAGTTAGTTTTGCCGTGACTTTCTTCTATTAAAAATTTCATTAAAAAATTCCTTTTTTTTTGATCAATTAGTCAAAGATTAATTATAGTATAAAGTATAATAAATAAACCAATTCAAAAATAACTGTATTAAAATATAGTTAAATTATAATTAATATATAGATTTAATTATTTAACCACTTTTTTCATTTTTTTGAACATTGTTGTTATTGTTTCCTTATTGACTATTTTTTTTGTAAATATGGCTTTGTATTTTTTTCTTTCATTTCGGTAACATTTGTTTTTATTTTTTCTATTTTTGTTAAGAATTACATGTACTTTCTCGAACTATATTATAATAAAAATATAGTACATACTGTACAAAACTACTTATTATACTACAAGTAACTATAATAAACCATAAATGCGTGCAAAATTGGGTTATGGGATGAATTCGTCTTTCTCCCCCTTTTTCTCTTCTTCACTTTCGACAATTACTTCATTCTTTTCCTCAAAGTCGTCATCTTTTTTATTTCTTTCTTTTTCTTTGGACTTCATCATATAGGCAAGTAACACACCGACGATAGCGATAATGATGAAAAACAGGACAAAGCAGCACGCCGTCACTATAATAGCCGTGTTTGGTCTTAATTGCGCGAAGCACTTCTTGTAATAAGTTGAGTAGAAGTACCCACTCTCGCATTCACAATTCATCCCAACACAATACTTCGCAGTGTAATTTGACACATCCACTATAGCGGCTTTAAGCACTTCAATGGTTTGAGTCTCTAACTTTCCTCCAATGTACAACATCTTGTCGTCCATTCCAACGGAGTAGCCACGATATCCATAGGAGCTGTTTCCTCTGAAGGAATAGACCTTTTCAAATCTGTTTGTGTTACCAGTCAAGTACTTGTCAAAGTAAAGATCCACACCACCAACACGTTCACGAGAAGCTTCCGTATATCCGAAGACTCCAACCGCCAAGAAAGATCCATACGTGTACATCATTTGTGCGTACTGCGTCTTAACGTAATTCGTTGAGTGATTTCCATTGAACCACACATCTTTGATGAACGTTGCGTATCCGTAGTTATTCGGAGAGTTGACTTGGATCTTCCCAACATCACTCAAAGCAGTGTATATGACGTCATGGCCAGACATCACCATGCCATCAAATGCATACGTCTTCGTCGTATTATCCGCTAGAGTGATCGTTTTATAAAACGTTAAAACTCCACCAGTAGAGACTCCGTAGATATCAATCATCGAAGAGTTCTTCACAGCAACATAGTCATATCCCCAATTGATATACTCACCACATGGATTTGGGTATTCTTTCACTTTGTCAAGACTCTCGTTCAAGACAGTTAAGTGCTTGTTCTGACATACAACTACATAAACCTCACGCTTCCCGGTATAAAATTCTCGATCAATGACATCCATTGGCGAATTTGCATCAGTGGAAGACTTTGCGGGGAACGCGACAGCGACGGGGATCTTCTGTTCGATGTTGTAAACTTCAAAATTCCCGTTGTTCAAGAAATAAAGCTTCTTAGTCGTCGCTGCAATGACGGGACGGACTGGCGTGGACGTGGAAACTTGGATGGATACAGATTCATATGTTGGGTGGATGCAGTCGATTTTTATCGAATTTTGTGAGGAAGTCGGGTAGTGCAAGACATACGTATACTTGTAATCCGACTCTTCGTTGTGGGCCATAGAGGCTACTACTTCACCAGCAGCACCGGTGGACCACTTGATCTCCTCGACCTCAACGGACTGAGAATACACAGTGATGAACAAAAGTGTGATGAGGAACATCTCTTGCAATTTTTAAGTTCATCCTTTAAGAGATGATTGAGGACTTATATTTGATCTTAATACTTTTCGTTCTAATTCAAATGGAGTTCTCTGTAAGATCGTATTGCTAATTATTTGGGTGTTGATTATTATTTTCAACACTCAATTATATTTGTAATTATTTAATATATAAAAATACTAACATAAATTTAATTTTTGGTTCTGTGGTAAATTTAACCAATCATATTGTAAAACAAAAATAAAGTCAATTGCGTGTAATTGATGTGTATAAACGAACTGGAAGTTAATATTCTTTGGTATTTGTTATAACAATTTTAATTAATTTTTACTATAAATTGAATAAAATATTAAATTATGAATTAATAATTATAAAAAATAGAAGTCTAAATTTATGGATTTAACTATAAAAAATAAGTGGTAGAAGGATAATTTGTGCAAATAATAACTTTTCAAACACACTTTTTTGAAAAGAATAATAAAAAAAAACATTATCAAAAAAAAATAAACATTTCAAACACAAATGATTTTGTTAGAAAGCACACCAAACCAACCGCAAATAAACAAAGATGGTTCGGTTGCCCTTTACCACAATGTTTTGTTGTTGTATTTTTCAGTTGTCCTTTTGTGATTCAAAAATTGAATAAAGCCATACAAATTTCGGTGTTTTTATCCATTTTTTAAATCAACATAGAATATTTCAAAGTATTGTTGTTATTCCGATTAGAATTGTTTCCTTATTTAAAATCGTAAAATGAGTAACTCGAAAATGAGACGATGAAAGCCGCACTTTTTGACTTCGATGGCACAATAGTGTTTTCAGAAAATCTTTGGATGGCGACCTTTGACCAATTTGAAATTGACTATTCTCTACCTCTCACTCCACATGAAGTCCGCCTTCAGCAAATGACTCGAAGTGTGTTGTCGTTGGCCAAAGAATATTATTCTCTCTATCCTTCTTTAGGTTCGACCTTCTCGTCTGCGGAAGCGCTCGCAAAATACTTTAATGACAAAACTGAAACCACAATTTATTCAACAGAGCCGATAAAGGGGGTGGACCGCTTTATCCAGCTTTTAAACGAGAGGGGTGTTCCAGTGGTCATTGCGTCTTCTGGACGCAAGGAGCACATTAGCGCTTATTTGAGCAAGTGGGATATACAAGTGAAAGACATTGTAACAGGCGATGATGTCGAACATCCCAAACCAGCACCTGATGTTTATTTTGAGGCTTTGAGAAGGGCTGGACCTGGACTAAAGCCACAAGACGCAGTGGTCTTTGAGGATAACCCGAACCCCGCTTATAGTGCATACAAAAGTGGTTTCAGTATTTGTGCTGTTAATTACAACAACCGCTCCATCTTTTCAGAGGATTTCCCCCCTCTTAAGTGTTCTCTTTCTGATTTTGACAATTCAGGTGAGTTGTTTTGCAATCTTTATGAATCTTGCTAATCACTTTTTTATCACTTTTTTTTACCAAGTTTTACACAGGTGTGAAAAATTAATATAATAAACTATACACAATACTATAATATATAAAAAACAAAATAAAAATAGTCAATAAAAAATAAAAAAGGGGTTCTCAAAATTCGTATTTGATTTTACGAAAATGAGTTTATATGTCAATCAGCGGATGATTGTAATGGAAGGAAATACAAAACTCGAGATCCCAGAAATGGGAGGAAAGGCACTTGGTGTGGAACCGTTAGTCACAGAACCAATTGTTTACCAATTAAAAGACGTCCAGCTGGGGACAATGGAAAACTTAAAAAAGAGCTACACAGAGTACTTTAAAAGTGTCGAAGACACAAGAGACCGTAACGCAAAGCTTTATCAGGCGAAAAACATCCCACGAATCACTCAACTCAAAAAATTATGCAAGTAAATATTTGTATTATTTTTAATTATCATATTTATTATTCCTTTTTGAGAATTAATTTTTGATTGTAAGTAAGTAAGGTGGCAGACCTTTCCCACCCTCACCCCGTCTAAATATAGAATCAATTTACTATATTTTATAATTTTATAATTATAATTATAGTAAATGGGCGTTTTGGATAATATTAGGTCTGGTTCCCGAATTCAAAAAATGCTGAAAATTCACCTCGAGTCAGTGGAAACCGAGTGAGACGGAGCATGAAAAGA